CTAATTGTTTTATCGTTCATATTTATAGAAAAAAAAAAATAAGTTTATTCTTGTATCAACCATTTGTAAGCAAGTCATAGTCGGATAGATACATATTGATATGATATTAGATTCGGAAGCATGCATAATACCATGGTATGATGCTGACAGTGATTCGTATTCGTGATCCGAAAAAAGGATTTGGATTCGAATCACATCTCGTGATTCGGATTCGTGATTCGAATTCGTGATTCGAATCAATTTTTTAAGGATTCGTCCCAGCTCTGATAGTACGTAATATATTTTGTTTTATCTTTAAAAATGGAAATTCTAACAATAATTTATTTTTAGTAAATTATTTAATTTCCTAGAATAAAAATAATTATCAAAAATATGTTCGTATTTGCGACTCACCCTGTAGAGCAAAATATTTTTGACTTAATATATCAAAAGTTGATACAATAAAATTAGTCACAAAATATTACATTTGCCTAGACTATAAGAGGCGTAGGTATCTTACTAAAAAGGCAAGCGTATCAAAAATTAAAAAAAAAATAATATTCATAGGGTATTTCGCGAGGAAAATGAATTATTTTAAGTACGTGTCCTGGAAATTGAAATTAGCAAAACATCTTATGCAGGGTAAATCCTAAGTTGATACTTTTTTAACTATGCATAGAAGTCATTAAGTTAAACAACTATTTCAAAAAAACTCAAAAATAAAAAACAAATTAAAATATATCCAATATGATCCAGTAAATAACGTTTTCAAAGATTTCACTATTATATCAGGCCTAAAGCTTTTTAAATTTTGACCTCCGTATAGGAACGCGATTTTTTAACGAAAACTTTCGGCATGGTCCAAAAATAATATGAAATTAATGTCTCATTTTTTACAATGTCTGGTTTTTGCACTTGCTTAATAAGCATTATCTAAGACAGACTATGATTTTCTACACTTGGAAATTCTTCAGGTTTACCCTGGACAAAACGACACTGTATTTTAGGCGTGGAAGAGAAATTTATAGCATGTAAATTAAACGCCGACTAAAGAAACTACACTGTTTATTCCACTATTGGAAACACAAAGCGAATACTTTTTACAAGGTTTTCGCGCTTCGAAAATTCACTTCATAATTGATGCATGGGCCACTATAATATATTAGTACCTTTTATGTTAACTAAATGTTGATGAGGTGTTGACTCCACGACATCCGTTCTGTTGGACTACGGCCAGATGTACCGAGCCTAAATTCGTGAGCTTGATCATAAAAAAATGATGAGAAACCATGAGATTGTACTACGTATGCGCAGTTTAGCGAAACATATAAAGTATTTTTGATTTTTATATATTTTGTCCGAGCGAAGAGCAAGGAATTGCCTATTTTAAAATCTCAGTACCTCTATAACACGTATGATAAAGACAAAAAATAATTAGCAATATCACTATCGATTTTTATTAAGTAATCATCGATAGTTTAAATTTACATGTTTTTACTAGTTTTCCCATTTTATTACTTTTAAGATTGTATTAATTAAAATATTAAAAATAATAATTTGTTTACATGGGGAAACTACTTTTTACGACCTGCAAACAAAATTTAAGAAAACTAAAAACGTATGTTTAATTTAATGATTGGTTTGTTTTTTTAAAAAGTTGACAGTCAGTGGAACACAAATTACATCATACTAATATTAGTCTCTTATCTGACTGCAAAAAGTGGCACTTTTTATTTTTTGCTAGCCTTTTGTAGTTGGGTGAACAACACGTACTGTGTTCCGGTGATGACAATGAAATATGTGCTTCTAGATGTCAATAACAATAAACAAATTCCTTTGATGCAAGTTCTGTCGTCCGGTTTTGCTACTGCCGGGGTACGGATTTCGGGCTCCAAACCGGATATTTGCTTCTTTGCAAAATTCGAGATATAGTTTAAACGCGTTTTTTCCGAATCTAAGATGATATTGCAAGCATTTTTTGGCGAAAAAAATTGCAACCTGGCGGAAAGTGACTACTTTTTAAGGTGTAAAACCGGATACCAAAAGTCAAAAAGTGGATTAATCGCTCTCAAAAACTTTGTATGACTCTCAAAAAAGTGCATTGTCCTTGCAAGCATAATTAATTCAGTCGTTCTACTCCTTTAACCTTTTATTTTTTGGATTTTTGAGAAAAAAATCTTAAAATAGCGCCGACTATTTTAACATTTACTTAATTTACGGGAACAAAACATAAAAAAAGGCTGAATGGGGTAGAACTACTGAATAAAAAAATGCTTGCAAGGGCAAATACTCTTATTTGAGAAAAACTTTTAAAGAGTAATTGAACCACTTTTTGACTGTTGTTTCCAATTTTACAAATATTTCAAAAAACAGGTTACTTTTTGCCAGGTTGATTTTTTTGCATATCAGCCCTTTCGCCGATCTTTTTAGATTCAGAAAAACGCATTTAAGCTATCACGAATTTCATTGAATAAGGTAAATATCCAGTCACGTGGCCGAAATCCCTACACCGGAAGTAGCAAAACTGGACGACAGAAAATGTTTCAGAGATATTTTTTTGTTATTTACGTCTAGAAGCATATATTGCATGACAGCAAAAAGACTAAATCCACCGATAAGCAACCTTACTTTGAATTTCACAAAGCAAGGAAAAAATACGGCGTGTCACTTTTGCAGTCAGATGAGGGACTATATTATCATGAAATGCTATAGAAACACTTTGTATTAGCAACCGAAATTAATATCTTATCCCTCTTTTAAAACCATTTATTTATTATTTGTTTTAGGTGGAAAACAATGTTGCTCCGACAAGGATAAGAAGTGAATAATTTTCACCTGCATATTTGACGTGACTCTTTCAAGAAAATAACCCATAATCATGATGAAAAGCTCTCACGTTGAAGTTACAAAAATAATGCTTTCCTTACTAAAATTATAACCCTTCAGAAAAAATGAAATAAAAAGAAAAAAAAAGTTGTTATTTTTATATTTATTATGTAGGAAATAAAATACATCTGACTTCTTACATTATTATTAACAGTAATAAATATCTTCAATTTTTACTTCAACAATAATATACTTTTGATCACAATCTCTGTATGAGAAAATTAAGTAGAAAGAAAAAAGTACAAGATTCATTCCGTTGATGCCGAAAAACAGGGTGTCACAAAACGTATAAACTACTACCGTTTTATAATCAAAAAAGATCATGTACCTACTTTGTTAGGAATTTTACTTGTTACAAAAAATGTATTGTAAATAAGCTCTTCATTTCAATAGTAAAAAGTACAGAGGCGTCACACAAACCAAATTTTGATTGGTTGGTCTAGGTCGCTTAGCTATGATCACGCCAGTGGCTCGACGTGATTGATAATTTGTTTGAGGTTGTGTATTAAAAATGTTTAATTGTAAAATATTTACGATTTTTGATTATTTTAAGACAATAGTTTGTTTATAAGTTGATGGTGTTGTGTTTTATATAAGTAATCTAAAACCATGTCTAGACAAACACTCGTCTTCAATGATTTTTGCCAGTGTACGAAGGCCTATAATCGGAAGAACCCCTTTAACCAAGATGTTATAGTATTTTTAGTCAACAATTAAAAAACGAACAGAAAAAACATAACACCAAAAGTGAACAACGGATACGTTGAGAGATGGGCGATCTGTTTTACAACTGCTATAAATTAATTGTACTGATACAGTTATGAACATAAAAAAAAATATTTTGCTATTAGAAAATGAAATTTGTACAAATTTATCATAACATAATGTTCCTTAATATTAACATTTTGTTTTCTGAAGTGTATATTATTGCTATATTACAAGGTAAGCCATTTGTTAGTTTTTCAAATTATTTTTATTAAAATTTAAAATAGCTATAAAAAAATATTGATACATTATTACAAAAATCATTTTAATAAAAAAAAATTAAATGCGGATCTGTCATATGGGTGAGTGAGCACGAGTAAGTGTTTTAATAAAAGTAAAATTCCAATACTTTTCCAAATATTCATATATTAAAATAAACATTTAGTATTAGAGACTGGAGTCGAGAGTGTCTATTTCTCGCTAAAGAGTTCTAATAAGGACGAAACCGGCCCAATAATGGCTTTCTCTTTAGGAGGCAAAATCAGAGGTAGAGTGTTGAAAATTATTTTCTATCTCTGCTATTCATTTTGATATAATGAAATGCCTGTTGCGACATTAGCCAAGGGAGTAGTCGTTTTAAAGAGGGAAATGGCCGCTCGTATTTTGTGTGACACGGTCTTTGCGATCTTCTCTTTTTCCTTTATGGTTTATTTAGTATGGTTTTTTGACTTTTTTTATTATTTAAATAATACACTTGAAGTAAGGGATTTGGAAGTTTGCAAAGCATAATTATTTAAATTTCAATATATCTTGCAAACAGTTGAGAATGGATGATTGATGATTTCCATGTTTAAATTTATTTAAGCAGTTGATTGATATAAATAAAAAAATTGGTACATGATGTTCCAAAATTCTTTTTTGGATTCAGTAATGCGTAACTTTATAAATGTAACGATGAAGTTACAATAACGTGTTACTTCCATTTTTTATCAATTTTCATTTTTTTTATACCAAACCAATTACTTCACACTATAAGTAAGTATAATAGTTTGTCAAAACTAGGGCTTTAAAATGAGTGGGATGATCTCATGACCTTCCACTACTACCCAGGTATATTTATTGGGGCTTATATCTAACTAATAGTTCACTTGTTTCTTTCTAAAGCGGAGCAGCTACATAAAATGTGCTCTGCGGATTCGTCTTCCACGCTGCAGAATCGACAGTCCGACGTTTGTTGCAGACCTATTATTCTCATGTAGTTACCGGCATGACTTACAGTTATACCATTGAAAATATATCAAGTCTATTCTTATTGAATCCAAAAATGAGTTTCTTTGTATCTGGAAATCTATGTTGTCATTAAACTAAAGTGCACTATACTCCCTATTCTTATACTTAAAACTAAGTTAAATATATGTCTGAACTCACAAAAACAATGTTTATGAATTTCAAAAAAATCTATAATTGTTTCAATAAAGCTGATCTACTAAACAAATGAGTTTTTGGGACTTAAAGATTTGATATAGTCCAGCTCTATATTTATCAAATAATAACAAAAATTTTTTAGTGTTATGGCTTTGGTATTAACTATCCAATGAGCTTGGAAACGACATTTGGATTATTTTTTTATGAAAATGAGTAGTTTCCAACTTAAATTTAGCAATTTAATAATATAGAAATAAGTAGGTAAATAGTATAGGAATATCCGTTACATTTGCAGCCTACCGCCATAAAAAGGCATTATTAATTTACGGCCTTTGGAACTGGAATTTCCCAATAATATGACGGTAATAAATAGCTCATCCTTTAAGATGTGCTCAAATATGAATTTCTTAGTGTATAAATAAAGAAATACGAGATTGTTATTAATATTTTAAATACTTTAAAAAGACATTTACAAAGTCTTTAAAGCAGATAAAAAAAAGTTGGAATGGAATCTAATAGTATTCTGAATTTTTTTATTCCAGTTTGAAACTGATCGGGAAAACTATATGGAGTGGAAGATGAAAACTTAAGGCTCAGAAAGGGTGTTTTACCTCATATTTTTAAGTGTCAGCAGTCAGGTTCCAAGTCTATCAAACCTGAAAGAGGTGCTGCAGCGAAAAGACGTCGCGTTGAAATCCTCCAAAATATAGTCATCAAATCTCACACACACTTTAAAATCAGTGGGGTGGGTTGATTGTAGTAGTGGTGGTGGTGCTATTGAAGACGATCCACTCGAGCTCTTTGATGATTATCCTACTCTTGTTCCCAACAACAATCATATGAGACATAAAAAAATACTCGATCTAAACAAGTCCAAAATGATAATACCTTAAACAAATCAAATGTGTCATGTTCTCTAATAAGAAGAGAGTACTATCACATGTGGGTACTTCTCCTATCAAATTTAAACAGACACATAGTTTGGAAAATCTTAAAGCGAGTTGCTCTTCCGAAAGATTGGGAATGCAGTTCTTCCGACACAAATTTGGACCATTATGATCAGTACAAAGCATGCATGTTAAAAGGGACCTTAATGTTAATAGACATAGCTCGCAAACTAATTTTAAGTATTCCAAATCATATTTTTGTTTGCAAATTTTGTCAAATAAAATTCCGGTTCCTCATACACATATTCTTATTACACTTAAAATAAAATCGACTAAATGAACCATAAACAATATTACCCATTCAGTTGGAAGATCGTCAGTAAATATAGGTTCATTTGTTATCAACGTACTATCAAGAATTAATTATATGGCCACCTCCTAACAAAGTAGCTTAGCATTTAGAAGCAGGTATTTCAGCACTTATAAAATAACTAGTCATTGACAGGAAATCATTTTGGGGCAAATTGTCTGACTGACCACGAACAAATCGCTGTTCCATTGTTAGTAACAAGTCAACACGCCAACTCGCAAAACCACTCTGTTTGCCGTCAAAATAGCGACTAGTCAGTAGAGAATGTAGAGATACGCAGGATGTATCGATGTTTAAAAAACATCGATTTTTAAATTTCGATTATCGATGTTCAACATCGATGTTTTTAATCCGATGTTATTAGATAACATCGATTTTTCAATAAACATCGATGATTTTCTTTTCAATGTTTTTTGGTGTTTTGTTAAACGTCACGTTTCATTTGATGGTGTGAATTCCTTTTTCCCCTTTTTTTGCTCTTTAATGAACGCTTTTGGCAAACATCGATGTTTACAGACACATCGATGTATGGAAAAACAAATATCGATATTTAGAAAAATCGATATTTCCTTTTCCGATTTTTTTACAACATCGATAGTCTGTATTCGATGTATCATTTGATGTCAACATCGATGTTTTAAAAAATTTGCGCATCCCTAGCGTGGTCGAAACTAGTAGCTAAAAACTAATTTTTTAATAAATGTACTGTGACCAAGACTCAAACATATTTATTAAAATCATAGTTAAATTTATATTGTTTCATTTAAGTTGTTCCCGCATTATAAAACTTATTTTTGATTATCCTGTTTTTATAAATATTTTGGCTACTGGGAATCAATTCTATAGCATATTTCTAATGTACCTACCTATTTAAACCTAGAGGGCTCCATTCATTGAGTTCTGAAGCACTAATAAATTATAGAAACCATATGCGACATCCGGCCTGGTTACAGAAATGCTGTTCTATTATAAAAACTGTACATAAATGTTGAACCAAGCGATTTAACGTACCAAACATTCAAATGTGCCCCTTAGGACTGTATACTATTAGCGAAAACGCGTTTGGGCCAGCAGATGAAAAGTAACCACTTTGACTTTTATGTTTTTTTGCTTCTTAGACATCGCGTTCTTATCAAAAAAGATTCCATTTAATTTGATATTTTCTTGTTTTAAATAAAAACAATTTTCAATAAAATTCGTCTTTATATTATACAGAGTATTTATTTTAACAACACCTTCTTAGTTGTCGGAAGAATTTCTTTGTTTTTTGTAAAAATTAATAAATTTTTAAAACTTTTTTAAAGCCGCGAATCGACTTTAATTTTGTGTTTTTCGGTTTATAATTAACAAAGTAACTTTTTTTCGTGAAAACGGTGGTAAAAGAGAAAAAATTCAATTTTTCAACTACAAGTATTGTACAACCTGGACAAGGATCGCCCGCCATGCACATTCCTCATAATTGGAGGCAAACCTGTGACAAGCATCGACCGCCTATCCTCTAAATTGGAAGAAAAATGAATTACCAATGAACAAGATCAACAGTGGCAGAGCCCAAATTACATGACACAGGACAAAACCCTCGTATATTACCCGTACAATTAGGTATAGCAACAAATAAAGTTATCTTTTTTTAAAGCGATACTATTAAAGACTTTGAAAAACTACAGAATGAATATAAAAAAATTACATTCCGTAATCGAAACACTGTATTTCGCATGCGCGAAATTAAATAATAATTTTGCTGAACTGCTTATAAACAAAGGCAAAATATAGTTTAAAAAAGAAGAAACGGCAAATGACTGCTTAATTTTTTTATGTTTTAACGAAGTTTTCCAACGTTTGGAAGTATTTTACAAAAGATTTGCCTAAAAAAGGAAAGTACAAATGCAAATATTGTTCCCAAAGTGTTTTTGAAGATGCATGGAAGGAAAACATTTAACTGTGTGTCTTCTATACCCAAGGGATATCAAACAGCAGTTTCTTGGAAAAAGGTCAAGTCATTGCTAGATCGACTACTTTTCCGGTGATGTCCATCGAGCTAGTCCAAAAATTACTTTTCATGAAAAGTCCCATCACTAAAAACAATTATTTTTAATTCATATAACTGCCACTCAATTTTCACAAGCTTTTCAGATAATTTATGACATTGGAAATATTATAAATTGCCATTACTTTACTTAATAATAGCATGGTGGAACCAACAGAATTATTAACAGAAATAGGAAATATTCAAACATTTATTGAAAATAATAAGAACAATAATCATTCATAATAAATCAGAAAAATTTGAAGACTATAGATAGTCATAATTCCTAAAAGAAAAATAGCCATATAAGTATGTGAAAAACAAGAACAAAAATGCCCTCTTGCATGCTACCTATTTAATAGAACTGTTCTATACTAGAAATAAAAAAAAAATTCAAAAATCCCATCATTGAATTTCAACCAATAAGAATACTCGAATTAAACATTGCAGCAAAAAATAGAAGAAAACATCAGAGCCAAAATGAATAGACAATTTAAAATCCGCTTTACAAATTCAACAAATTCGAATAAAAAGTCTATCTAAAACTTTATTTCTCAAAATACAAATTACTTTTCTATTTTCATAATTATTATATTATTTTATTTTTTTTAAGGAGAAGATTTAAACTTTTTAATTTAATTTAAATTCAAATATATATCAAATTAAGGAAGAAAAAAATACGCAACAGCTAGAAGAAATTCCGGAACGGATGTAAAACAAAATCAGCAGGAAGTTCATCAGTCTATTATATACTCAATTTAACTGGTATTTCACCAGATTCATTTTAGGCACTCTTACTTGTTGGAAAAATATCTGTTAGTTTTTCGAAAAATTCATAAATGTTTTTTTAAAAGTTTTTATAAATGTATTTTGCGTTTATAGCGCAGACATTTTCACGACTATGTTGGATAGTACCTTAACCGTATGGTATTACCTAAAAAAACGTGTGTTGCTTCGGTTACTATTGAAATAGAGTCAAAAATTTATATTTTCTATCTTCAGATAGAATTTACCTTTCTTTGATTTGAAGAGAAAAGTGTTTACACGTTTTGTGGGATATTCACTAATATATAGCAAGAAATAGTAAACAGGAATTTACAGAGACTGTCATGTCATAATCTTTATGGCAAAAAAGTTTCAATTTATACATGGAACTAAAAATTTCAAATATTAAAGTATCCAAAATATTAAATAACTACTTAATAATATTTATTTAAGAATAATTCATTTGTTGAACCTTTCTTGATTTTGAAAAGTTTAAAAATGAGCATGGGAATTCTAATATATTCATGTTTACTCCATATTTTGCCAATAGTAGTAGGTATATATAAATATTGTGTCATATTAAATCCAAGGATATAAATAAAAAAATCGGAATAAACATTCCTTTATATATTTAAAATAGGAAATTATATTAGAAATAATAAAACAAAATAAATAAATGAAAACATGCATTGCAAGTTTAAAAGTTCTCACAAACCAAACGAATTTTACAATTTTATTGGATTTTATATAACTTAATTTATTTTTTATCATTTCGTATAAATTTCAACTAAAAATACACCTGCTGCTGAGAAACCACCTATTCAAATTTATATCCATCTTAAAATATTAAAAAACTCAGTCGATAATATCGATTTTCCATTTAATGGAAACAATATAAAAGCGTCATTAAAAAGACAACTAAAAATTAAATAGTAAGATTTAAAACTGTCTCTAAAATTATAACAAATAAAAAATATAGAGACTAAAAATCACAAGTAATACTTTCCAATAGTTTTTAAAATAGAACGGGACTAGGCAAAACACCAATATCAAAATTTAGTGATTCAATTAAAAATACAAATAAAATTAAAATAAATATTATTTTAACAAAAGTCCAACAAAAAGAGCATAAATTCTCTTAATTTCTAATAATTTCGGATTTATTAATTTTTATTTCTGTTGATTCCCTAAATATGCCCAATATAAACAAACTCAATGAATATTTAAAACAATATTTTCTTATTCTGCCAAGAATCATAATTATTATTCAATTAAAAAAAACATAATTTGTTTGATATTTCAAACACAATTTATACCTAATTTACCAATAAAAATATAGTTTTGAATATATATTGATCATATTGAAGAAATGCATCAGGATTTAAAAAAAATGAATAGATAGAATAAAAATGAAGAAATCCGTTCAAAATATAAATTATAAAGTAAATTAACAAAAGTTCAACAAAAATGTCCTGATTATTTAATTCACAGAATTATCTAATCAGTTTTTTAAATATTTTATGCCAATTTTTTTGTCTAGTCCGCACGTTTTTGTACACTTACATACCCTTTTTAAGTATCTAGAAATTTCAAAAAAAAACCTACCTATATAAAATATCTCTTGAAAACATAAATACGTCGACTAGGATTTGAAAATTAATTAAATGATAAATTTGAATATAAAATAGTAAGTTTTTTTTTTTTAACAAAAAATAAGTAGTTCAATTATTTTTAAAAACGTACATTGTCACAAAAAAGTGTTTAATGAATAATCTACCTTCAAAAATAAGAAAAAGTTTAAAATACTCATAAAAACTTAGATATTTTGAATTGAGTTGGAATCGACCTAGACTTCTTGATCTGAAGAATATTATAGTAAACTTTTCATCCAATGTGAAATCTTTTGACGATTACAAGATATCTTTTAACTGATCTTCAGCTTTATTGCATAAATAATTATGTAATTTCTCATTAAAAACAAATACATATAATATACAGTACTGGCAGGATCAAACCTTCGATCCGTTTTATTTGCGTTGGAGTGAATATTAAATTATGCTCGAACATAAAAGAAACGACACTGTATCAATGATGTCAGTCATGAGTCGATAGCCCGCCATCTCGACACCACATCCTCTCCTGTCCATGCGAACTCCATTTACTATTCATTCGAACAAAAGTAAAGCGGGACAGAAAGTTTGATCTTGCCAGCAGTGTATTCAAGTTTTCACTAAACCAGTTGTCCCACAATTTATTTATCAGGTAGTTGCTCAGGAAAATGCTTGCCATTTTTGTACGAGATGGAAATTTTTTTATTTAACAGAAATATAAAACCTATTATTGAACCTAATTAAAACCCAAATTCCTAGTCGACACATTCCATTTCACACCTACCTAATCGAACATTTTTTTTGACGTATATCTAACAAAATTGTCTTTATTCGCCTTTAACGATAGGCTCTTCGTCAGTTTCTTCGTCTGACGCACTATTTTCATTATTTGGTTTCAATCTCTTCCTGTAAATTTCGCACTCGCTTATTTCGAAACCTATCAACGGGTGGAGAGCGGATCGCAACGAGGTGAACAATTTTGGAAAATGGATTTCCTGCTGGATGAGAACTTGCTTGATCCGTTGGCTCTCTTTTGTGAGTCTCGGACTGGAAGAACTTGTGAAAACAGGGAGATTTTCGTTGGTGCTGTACTGCCTAAGTACTTTTTCTCGAACGTAGACGAATGGCCGTATTACCCGGAGATCATGATCTCTGTAAAAAATATTATGGAACTAAAATTGAGCAAAAAAAACAATTTTAATGCTTTATGATGTAAAATATCTGCTCACCTCGCTAAATTCTAAATTTAGGTAGAAGGTAGTAGATAAAATTTAAATAGATATACTCAAAATTTAAGACAGAAGAAAAAATATGTATAAAAAAAGAAAAATTTCTAAAATTTATTACCTGATGAAATAGTGTGCCCTCAACGATCTCAATTTTCCTGTATGGAAAACTGACAACATGAAGCTCTCGCAAACATCATCGAGATGTTGTCCAATTGCTAACACATTGTAACCAGAACTTTTAGCGGCAGAATACAGTCTTTGTCGTAAACCAGGAGTACAGAAGGTATAGTAGTTTTCTTTAGCGCTTTCTAATTTTTCTGTAAGAAAAAGATTCCAATTAGAAAGAACTGCTTTACCAAAAACCTCCAATTTTAGAGAATTAGGAACCTTGTTTTAATAGGAATTAAATAAATTTAACTGTTAATTTATAAATAGGAAAGAAAACATAAAATAAATTCTCGTTTTTAATATAGAGTACTGTTTTTTTTTATATTTCAGAATATTTTATTGTAATAGTCTAGTGCTTTTTGGGTCAAACTTTTTTCTCCGCCTCCGAAAAATATGAACGAGGTGTCATTCGATTCGGAATAGAGTGTAGATGATTTTTGAAAAAATTCAAGAGCCGCTTGGAAAAATTGCAAAAGTTATAAACAATTAACTAAAAAAAAAAATGAGTTTTTTTTTTAGTTAAGTTTTTTGAAAATATCTCAAAAACTATTTGACATTTTCCAAATTTGAAAAAAAAATTCAAAAAGAGGAGGAAATTTACCCAAAAAAAAGTTCTATCACCCGGAACTGTAGGACCAATATTTATAATTTTCCCAGAGGGTTGAAAATACGGCCGAAAACGGAGACTCTGGTGCGCGTAAGCTTCGCCCACTGTCGACCTTTATTGAATAAATATTATTTAAACTTATTAAATATGAAAATTACGAATTAAAAAAATTCAAGCACATACTGAATAGTTAAATGAACAATAATCCGCGGTCAAAAAATGTTTATCACGATTTTTCTATTAATTACGAATTAGTTAATTAACAATTTTTTCTTACTTGAACATTAACATTGCAAGTGCGATAATTGTTAAATAACAAATCTGAGTTTTTTTTTGATCAATTTTTGAACGGTCTCAAAAGAGATTCCCGTTGGAAAAATTAAAAAATTTGTTATTAATAATTTACTTAGGTTAAAAATTAAAAAGCTTGATTTTTAAAAATCATTTTCATGTGGCTTCTGATGATAAAAAAACGGATCAATAGTAATATAAAAAAAAATGTCAATGATTAATCAAGCTTGCAATATTAAAGTTCAATTAGGAAAAAATTTTTAATTAATTAATGCATAATTAATAGAAAAATCGCGATAAAAATTTTTTTACCGCGGATTATTGTTCATTTATCTATCCAGTAGATGCTTGAATTTTTTTAATTCGTAATTTTCATATTTAATAAACTTAAATAATATTTATTCATTAAAAGTCCACAGTAAGCGAAGCAAATCAGTCTCCGTTTTCGGTCGTATTTTCAACCCTCTGGGAAAATCATAAATATTGGTCCTACAGTTTCGGGTGATAGGACTTTTTTGTGAAATTTCCTCCTCTTTTTGATTCTTTTTTCAAATTTGGAAAATGTGAAATACTTTTTGAGATATTTTCACAAAATCAAACCCAATTTTTTTGTTTGTTAGTTAATTGTTTATAACTTTTGCAATTTTTGCAAGCAGCTCTTGAATTTTTTCAAAAATCATCTACACGATATTTGCAATCAAATGACACCTCGTTAATATTTTTCGGAGGCGGAGAAAAAAGTTTGACCCAAAAAGCACTTGTTAACTAGACTATAAAATGCAGTGGCATAGTTGATTGAAAGTTGCACTTTGGCTTGTAGTTGCGGATATTTTTTTGCACTTTGTCGTTTGTATGAAGAGAGTATATAATTAATTTATTTTAAATTGTATTACTTTAAATTTGTGGACGGTAAATAATATTTATGGGCAATGGTACTTTGGAGGTGCTGCAAGACGAAAAAAAAAAAAAGGTAAAATATTGCGAGCCGATGAGAAAAGTTACACTAAGGTATATTGTATGATTAAATAAACTAATTATTTAAAAGATATATATTTCAGCTTGTATTTTAACTAGTGCCCCGTCTTTATTGTCATATACAATAGGTACTATTAGGTACAGGATTTCTGATTAAGGACTATTAGCAGCAGAATATCTTGAAAGCTGTTCTTAAAAAAAAAAGCAAAAACGGGGCAATTTTTATTTCAAGGTAGACACCTTTTTTTATCATATCCTTAACTCTTTCGGACACGAATTTTTAAAAACCAATATATATGTTTGTGTTGACGATAGTTAGAATTATTTTAAGATTTTTAAGCTAAAATTTCCCTTTCAATAATTTTACACGAAATAGGGATTCTAGATTTGTCGTTTTTTGCTTCTTGATTTTCAGCCTTTTAAATAATTATTGTTGTGATAAATCATGTATGTATTAGCTAAGAGCCGCAATATCTGATGATAATCGACAGTGTCTAAGGGCTTAGGAGAATCCAAGAAGACACATAGAGTTTACTAGTTTTTAAACATTGTGTAATTTCTCGGATTAATTGATCGATTGTTGCAGACTTTCCCTAAAACCAAACTGTTTTTCAGAAATTATATTTTGTTTATTTAACACGTTAAGTGCCCCCGCCCCCCCCTATGCAATCAGAATTTCTGCTCCTATGAACCAACTATGTTTTATGATTATTCCTACTGCTTAGGTTATAAGGTTACATGATGTACACACACATTTTGTGTTTTTTTGGTGAAATAACACTATTTTTTTGCGGCATACCATTTGTGCCATGTAGCCCTAGAAATGAAATTGGTCGTAAGGGCCGCATGGTACATATGTAGTACCATGGCACAAACTGGTACTCAAAGTCATGTTATACGCCGAATCGCGCTTTAAAATCACGTGGCTCTCGGCAGTCTGCCCTGTTAGTGTGTCTGAGAGCATCATATGTGAAGCCTGCATAAAATGGAAGCGCTGTAGTGTAGTACATAGTACATTGCATTTGTCTCGGTAGAAACTGTATAAACCACTTTTTGATTTATTTTTACTTTATTTTACGATAACCTCTTTGAAATACCACTACTAGACTCCCCGAGTCACACATATTTAACTGCCGTATATAAACTACAGAAGTGCGGCATACAGTATGAGCCACGAGAGTCGATATCCCCGGCTACACTCGAGCACAACATATGTGCCGCGCGACCCCAGGAGCAAAATTGGGTGTGGCACGCGCATTATATCGCGTGGCGCCTAAGAGTCATCTTCCAACCGATCCCTTACTTAAAATTATCAGGGAGGTGCGGGAAGTTGCAAATTTCACACTTGACGAAGGGGGGTAAATAGATTGTTTATCATTAGTTTTGTTGTTAATAGATTTCAGTGCGAAGGGCGCCACATTACGGTTAGAAAAATGTTACTTGCAGAGGGTCAAGCCGTGCGCGATTAATAACTTATTTTTTGACTTTTTTGTAGAAAGAACATTTTAGGACAAAGTTAAAGATTTGCAACAGGGATATATAGAATTAGATTTTCCAAATTATTTCTTATAACGACATGATTAGCGCCTTAAAATACGTAATATTGTCACCTTTTCCTATCTTGAATAATAGCAATGTTTAAAAAAAATTAATCATTTTGTTCTTATTCGCCCCTTGAAATACATTTTCTTTCATTACCTGCACAAGCAGTTTTAAGTAATTTTGAGAAATAAAGTTACAATTGCCCACGAGCTTAGCCGCTGTTTTTGGCCTAAAAATTCAGGCGGAGGATGGCCCTTAAGGAAACTAACCTATTTTTTATTTATTATTGGAAAATCTCGTAATAACAAAAATATATTTCACTAATTTCACCTCGTTTTTGTTTCATATATCTATCTTCTTCCATTTAGAAGTACAATTTACCTATTCATTGTATTATATAGAGCTGAAAGTAAGCATTACAGCAATTTTGACAAATTTTTTAATTACTACTGATGAACTTTTTAGTATTTTTAGAAAAAAAAATTTAGACTCTTGAGAAACAAATTTAATTTAAAATTAAACATTACAAATTATTAATATTTATTTTTAGCAGGTATTAAGATGGTTAATTTAATTTTGTTTTTATTATTAATTTTATTGGATCTTCCATTACTTTTTTGCCAATCCATTAGAATATAAAATATTAAATTGGTGTACGCCTATGCATGTGGTTAAAAGTAAATATTCAATTCATATTAGATAAAATATAACCATTTAAGAAGCAACACATACCTGGTTCATTTCCAACATCAGTTTTCTTATCATCAATGATATAATGAACTCCTAAAGTCTTGAGATGTGGAATCAACATGCATGGATCGCATCCCGAAGAATCAGGATCCACAGTCACAGCCCCAATGCTAAAAAGCACCCCTTTGTTCTTAATATGATTTTGATACTGTAAAAGCAAATGGAGAAGGCAGAGAGAATCTTTACCACCGGATAAACAAACCATAATTTTATCCCCGTTCTTCACCATTTCGAACTCGCTTATGGCTTCTAAAGACGGTTCCCAGATAGTTTTGGGAGGAGAGTTATACCTGAAAGACAATTATTGTATAATATCGTTTAACTACAGTTTTCCAATTCACCTACCTATTAGCCATGACTTCCAATAAATGGTGATCATCGCTAAGATCCCTAAATATTCTAGGCCTATGTTTCTGCAATGTAGAGAATTTTATTTCAGATTCGGATTTCCTTGGAGCATGCAGAGATTCGGAATTACTCCTAGATTTAAACTCTCCATTTGGGAAATGTTCTTGCTCATGGAAAGACAAATTGATACCGCTATCCTGACTGCTAACACTTGCCACCGTCGACGAAAGAACTTTGTTAGACTTCTGTGTTTTATCTTCTTCAGTTTTTTTATTGTCCAGCAGTTTGTCCGAACTTGCAGATTTGTTTATCATTTGTAAAACTGTTTCAGTACTAGAACCTGGAGTATATTTCTCTGGTTCCTGATTGATAGACGGTGGGATTTGTCGTTCTTCGCTGGACGTTCCTAAGCTTGATGTTCTCGAATAAGGGTGTTTTTCGGTATTATCGGGAGTAATGAAAACGTCTACTGCGCTAACGACTTCGCGAATTTCAGACTTAACTTCATTTGCCATTTCTATAGATACTTTTTCTAAATACTCGGCAACCTATAACAAAGAAATGATTACAGAAATACTGTTTCATTCTAACACAAATTGACATTTTCACCTCATTGGCAGAAATAGAATCGCTTCTACCATCCTCACTACCACTTCCATGTCTTTCATAATATGAACATACACTGTCAGTATTCTCCAAAGCATCTTCAACTTTAGAAATAACCTCTCTTATCTCACTTTTAATATTTGTGGCAATCTCTTTGGTCATCTCCGTTACATAGGTCTGCAAATCAGGAGCTGGGGACGATCGACCGCATTGAAGACAATCAAAGCTGTTTGACAGAATACTCAAACTATGCGTTGGAGACATTTGGTTGGAATCTGACTCTAAGGAATTCGGTTCTTGACTGCTGTAGCTAAGCTGCCTTTGACGGCTCTGCATTCCGAGACTCACTCGTGTGGATGGACTAAGGACGGGTGAAGCAACAGTAGGGGCTCCTAGACTTAAACACCTAAAAAAAATGTGATTGAATAAGTCAGTTAACATGTGTATATTTAAAAACGTACCTTTCTCTGACGAAATTCTGTTGAAGGTGATTTAAATTTGTTGAACTAACCGCTTCTCCGACAGCAAAATTTACTGACGGTTGTGAAATTTGCGGATAATATAAACCGTTAACGTCTTGAAGAAAATATGGCACTGGCGAAGAACAGGTGAGTACTTTGGGATCATCGATAGCAGGAAGACTAAAATGCCTAGGAGAACCATTGGCAGGCATTTGAGAAGGATTAATATCCCTGAAAAATATAAATATATAAAATTAGAAGCAATTTATTCTTTATTTTTAAAAATGTAATACCAATGAATTCCAATTTTGACTGAGATTACTGGATAGCCGAGAAAGAGTTTGGATTTGCCCAGTGCAATATTGTAGAACGAATTAGATAATGCGTAAACTCAGTTATGATTTGGACTGGCATAAATTGATGCTTGTACGTGCTCGTTGTGGTTGATGGAGCTAATATTAGGGATAACCATGTGATCACTTTTGCACTGTTTGTAGGACCTAATTTACCGATTACTTAGATTACACGCATGGGTCTAGGGCTAGGACGGAGGCAAAAGTAAAAGCTAATGGGAGGATGGCAAGAGAGATGGGGAGCACTAGAGAATAAAGCACAGTGGACGAAAAAGCTAATACCCATAGTTCACCGACTGATAGAATGGGGACACAGGAGGGTAGAATATTACCTAACACAATTTTTTACAGGACACGGTTGCTTCAAGAATTATACAAACAGAATTGGAAAGGAAGGTAAGGTAGAGTGAGTGCTGAGATGAGGCAGACTCATCCGAACGCACCATTTTCACTTGCGTGTGATGTCAGGACCACAGGAAACAAACGAACGTCGAGGTCGGAATACTCTTATTTCTGGAAAACATAATTGAACTAAGGAAAGCTAAAAAGACATTCATAACATGATAAGAAGCATAATAAAAGAAAAAGGAAGCAGAGAACGCCAAAGTCCAAACATCGCACTATATGACATGAGTCAGTAAGCTTCACAAATAGTTCCGTGATGCGTTGGGCGAAGATTTTTATTGGGTGAGAATGCCACAGTATCAGTCACGCTGTTGGCGGCATCCATGTTTGTTGAATCTATTAAATGACGTAATACTATTACCATGTCTTGACAAATTACCTGTGCTGGGCAGTCTATATAATAAGTTTTAGTGATGGTTCTCAACAATTTTTTTAGTATGTTAGGTATATATATAATTATGAATTATGTATTTCTTTAACACTGTCTTATCTCTTTATCAAATCCCAGAAGACTTTTGCAGCCTTTGAGTACCCTTCTCTAGCTATCAGAATTACCTCTTCGTTGCCGGTATATAGCCATTATCAGTTACTAATTTATATTAGTCTTTCCGTTAGAATTTGGCATTATTGTTCATATCAAATTAAAATACAAAAAGTGCAAGATATGTTATCGAAGAAGTATTCAAGCGAAACATTCATAATAAAATATTTGTATAAAACACGATTTTAAAAATTTTCTTATCATAGATTTGAATTGGATGAATACTTAACTAACCAAAATATAAAAACATTAAGCAATGAAAACAGATGCTATCAAAGCTAAATAATTAAAATTTTGTTTGAAAGTACATTACACAATGTGATTGATGTATACTCGTAAACGATATGATTGCAGATATTTTTTCGTATGATCCTTCTTGTTCTTCTTTTTCTTCGTTTATTTCTAATTTAATGCATCCATACATAACGACAGTTTTGTGCAGTCTAATTTTCGATACAGCAGAGCATTTTTTTAAGCAGGTACTCCTTGTTTTCTTCTGTTTTGTTTATGATGATTACTCCTCTTTCCGTTAAAGCCAAATTGTTACCATGTCTTATATTACATTGGTACTTCTGAAGGATATTTCTAAATCAATTATCCTTCTTGGTATTGTTATCTTTCCTATCCCTTATTTATTCAATAAACTGTCACTATTCCGTCTTGTGGAAAATATTTTATACGTTCATATGTCCGTCCTACAGCGTTGGCGGTAAAAATTATTCAGAAAGGCCTTAGGAGTGTGGCGCCGATGGTAATGGGATGTGTTTTTTGAATTCGATTTTTGTTTTTGGAAGGAAGACGAGGCAGAGTAGAGTAATGAAAGGAGTCAGAGAAGGAGACAAAATAAGCAGTAATCGGAGAGGGTGTGAAGAAGTTTTAAAAGGAAACAGCAGAGAGAAGAAAAAAGAAGTTTATAAGATACAAATTAGTGGTTTTATTTTTAATTTTGTAGGGATACATATGAGTCACGACCTACAGCGTTTGGAATATTGGAATGGTTTGATTCTTTCGGGGGTGGAACCATTACAATACTTATAAAACCTTAAAAATATAAGAGCAGTACTAATCCTATTGATTATTTGCATACTTTTATTGCAACACACGTAAAAGATATAATGTATTAATTGCGGACATATCCGAGTGTTATTATGTAAATACCTTATTTATCAAATTTACTTACCTATCTTTAGACTTATCCCTTTCCTTATCCCTCTTGAATAACAAATTATTTAAAGGGTCAAACGGAACTTTCTGTTTGACATTTTGTGCATTACTTGTTAACAAATTTTGTGCCTCATGCTGAAGCATGAACCATCTCAATTTCTCCCCTCTGCTATCGAAAATGATTCCTTGGTCTTGATAAGGACCCCTATTGGCAGCCTTTCTCGATCTGTTGAATAAATTTCTTGCAGTCTGTAGGCATTCGGAATAGCTTTGGGGAAAGAGGCCCGGTCCAGATATCCGCCTCTCATTCATGGTCATTTTCCCATCTAAGTACCTAAAAACAGAATAATAATTAATTTAAAAAATCAGATTTAAACATGATGTCTTACCTAATTGATGACAGCCATTTTCTGTCTTTGGAAACAGCGTTGGTATGATGTCTCCATTCAGCAGTTTCCAAATCGACGACATATTGCGGAAGCAATTTCCAACCTTCAGTGGCCACCATCTTGACGGCTTCCATAATGAAGGCTAATTCGGCATCAGTTATAAAATATGGAAGACTAATTCTAGTAAAACCTGGTCGTAGTAGTTCGAGTGTTGAATTTTCTACGCCGAGATTTAAACTGCTTAATCGCCTGCAAAAAAAATTTAAAAAATTGAAAATATTTAAATAAAAAGATTAAAAAGACGCCCAATGTACACTAATCTTCAAACCATGATTACATTGTGAGGGCAGAAAGTGATAATTTTCACACGGGCTGCGAATAATATATTATAAACGTGCCATGGAATGGCAAAATCGCTATTAATTTAATTAAAATGTCTAAAGCATAAAATATTTGTTTTGTTGCTTTACATTTATTTGTCTTTTGTTCTAAAGGCTTTTATATTCTAAAAAATTTTAATTTTGTTTTAAAGCATTTGAGTTTTATTCTAATTTCTATTTTAATTTTAAATAAATGTTCATTTTAATACCTAGTACTGTTTTATTTATTTAGTAAAATACCAGATAATTAATTTAAAACGGGTTGTAAAATCTACAAAAAAGTGACGAAAGGTACATACAGGGTGTAACAAAAAGATGTACAGGAAATTTAACCACAGTTGTTGTGTCAAAATTAAGTTGATTTAGATCTAAGAACACTGGCAGACCGAAATAGAGTAAAACTATTTTGGGTGCCAGGTCACCAAGGGATCAAAGGCAACGAAAAGGTTGAATAACTTGCAAAAAGAGGGTCAGATGAAACACCGGAACCAGACACAAAACCAGGAGTACCAAAAAGTACAGTCCGGGGTTTCATAAACGACTGGATTCGGGAACAACATATTAACTATTGGGGAAGCACCCCAAAACAGGCACATGGAAAAGCCTTCATAGGCAGACCATGTCCCAAAAGAACTGGAGTACTACCCTTTATGAATAGGAACCAGTTGAAAGTGATAATAGGGTTCATGACTGGGCACGCCCCAGTAAAGGGACACTTGAACAAAATTGGCATGTACAATGGGGAACTCATGTGCCGACTATGTCACAAGAAACCAGAAACGGCCAAACACATACTGTGCGAATGCGAAGCTGTAGATCGCAAAAGACAGGCACTTTTTGGACAACCCCAGGTTGATCCAACAACGTATAGAACCCATTCACCCAAGGATCTCTACAAACTTGTACAAGGTATAAAGGTGACAGAGTGGGTGCTATGAACTAACATGGAGTAAAACACAAGCCAATAGAATTCAGTGTTATTCAGAGACATAGTCAGACGAGCCCAGAAGAAAAAAAAATTGATTTAAGCCAACTTGTTCATATATACTCGTATAATATAGACAGTAAAAAAGTTACAAGGTGTTAAAATATACATTTTAAGAGTGATTTTGTTTACTCTATAACGGCTTAAAATAATTATATGAAAATGAAAAGGCCAATAAAATGGCCTATAAAATTATTTTAATTCTATTGGTTTTCAGTAGGACTTTGGCTCCCCTTTGGCCCCCTACTTTTTTTAGACAACGAAATTCAGTTAAAAACAGGACGTCACTGAAATCCTACATCCTACTTTTGGTTTAATATTTTTTTGTAAAAGTCATAGTGAAAAATATAATGAAATTTTTCTATTGATCTTAAACCACTGAATATTTGGTCACGATAACTTTTTTACTATTTTATAACTTCATGGATGATCGATAATACAAGGGAATAATTGTAAATGAATGTATAAAATAGTAAAAAAAATCGTGAACAAATATTTAGTGGTTTAAGATTAATAGAAAAATTTCATTGCATTCCTTCCTTCTGGAAATCAGTAACTACGGTTTCTACAAACAAAAACATTAAAAACAGATGTAGGATTTCAGAGATGTCCTGTTCTAAACTGAATTTCATTGTCTAAAAAAGTAGGGGTCAAAGGGAAACTCCTTCTAAAAACTTATGGAATTAAAACAATTTTAAACGCCACTATAACTCCATTTTATTGGTCACTATATACTAACATCCTATGTAGTAGAATAAAAGCACAAAATCATTTTGAAATTTCTATTTTATGTAACTTTTTTACTAGCCATTTTTACTTTCTTATCTGTATATAGATAAGGAAAGTATAGCAATCATGATTTTTTGTGTGAGTAAGTTGTTAAATCGAGTTATTTTCGACCCCAGAAACTGTGGTTAAATTTACTCTGTACCTACATCTTTTTGTTACATCGTGTATAGCACAATTTTTAACAACACGCCTGTATATGGTGTCTCAACCAATGTAAACATCGATGAAACTCGTAACAAGTCCTTAAACTACTTGCCAAATTCTCAACGCCGAATAAATTCATTATTGAATATGTAGGATGTAAGTACTTTTCAATGAATGTTAGGCACCCGAATCCGAAATAACTATCTGTGTTGAAAGATAAGCAATGCTGTAAACAACTCAACGTTGTTTTTATTGTTGAACGGACACAAGAATCGAAATTCGTTACAACGTTGAGAAATATTTCAACGTTTACTTTTCATTGACCACAAGAATAACCCTAATTTAATTATGTAAGGACCCGATTCTATCGTTGTGTTAAACGACGTTTAAAATGACATTTTTACATTAACAATGTCATTTTAATCTTCGCTTAGTAATTTAACTTCGTTTTTCTACGTCCATGTCAGTAAACGTTAAAAATCGCACTGTCAACATTCCTTGTAAATGACGTTTAATAATAACATGCACGTAATGAGATCTCTTAACATACACGTGCATTTTGATTAGAAAACTTAAATTTCTTAGTTTAATCAAATTGCAATCAAATTTTTATCTAAGTTTGACTTTATTTGGTCTATTTACATAAATTTAGTCAATTGAAAAACATAAAAACTTTTAGAATTAGCGAGATACATTTTGGATTAAAACAGTGATGCCTCTAAATGTCGGCAACACATTATACAATTTTTCAAGTCGCGTTTTCTTAGCATGCTTTGGAAATAAACGTCTTATCATTTATATTGTCAATTTTTGTAACAAAATATTATTGTATTCGAACATTTTCTCAACTTTACCTACGAATATGTCTGTTAGTAGTGAAAGTGATAAAATTATGAGCACTCCACTCAGGGCCGCCGAGAGTCAGGTCGGGCCCTGGGACAATTTTCCTGGTCGGGCCCCGCGACAATTGTATAAAAAAATTCCTTTCAATATCACAATTCTAAAAATAAAGTCTTCAAGCAAAAACTTCTCCTTTTTAGTGAAATCCTAAAAACAAAAAAGGTCCTCCTCTAACTTCTAAAAAAATAAAAAAACGTCTTCACCTGAAGCTGACGGGCCCCCTTTATGCCGCTGCCGGGCAACCACTTGAGCCCGGGCCCCGGGAATTAGTTCCGGCTACCCCCCTCTCTTGTCGGCCCTGAGTCTCCACCGGAGATTTTGGCAAAAGCTCAAGCTGCCACACATAATTTGTTACCGTTTAAATCCAAAAAAAAGGTCGTGAAATTTACGCACGAAGCCGCGCAGCGGCGAGTGCGTAAACTTTTTCACTTCGTGCGTAATGGGTTACTTACAACTCTTGTTACGTAATATACTATTAACAAATTAAGTCAATAAAAGGATGTGACAGATTATATTGCTTAAATAATGGGATTTCTCATGTCCAACAGTGCTTAACAAAAATGTTCAATATGTCGTCCATTTTGTAAATTGTACACAACATTATTCAGCATTTTTGAATAAATTGCAGCAATTTGTTCCTTAAGTATTTTAATTCTTACCAAGTTTGTTTGACGTGTGCTAAACACCAAATTCAAATAACCCTACAGCCAGTAATCCACTGGAATAAGATCAGCCGATCTCGGAGGCCATGGATTTACAAAATGTCTGCTTATATTTCTAAATCCTGATGTTTGACACTTGCATCAGTAGTTGACATGACAATTCTTTTGTTTTCCACAGAAACAGTAGAATTCAATTATTATTGCAATTACTTTTTGCTCTAGCTTGATTTCTTAAAATGATATAAGGTTTAAAGTATACCTCAGACCTTATGATGACCCCATATTTATGTCAAATACTAAATGCTGCTGCAAAGTTTCATACAACATATAACACTAGTTACATTATGTCCATCAATAGTTATGCATATGGGTCTACCCATCAACATTATCAACAGCTGACATTGACAAATTTTTTAAACCTTTAAATGTAAAATGCCCTAAACTAAGAAGTACTTTTTATTCGAATATGTCATAAGGATGAAAAGTTTCATACATTATTTTTTATTCGAATGTGCTTATAGGTATTAAAAAAATATAGAAAATTAAATCTAAATAATTTTCCAATTTTTCTTATAACTGAGATGGCTGTGATCGATAAGAATTACTAGGTAGGTATATTCTTGATAACAATTAAACAATTGCTGCCATTTTAGTGTGCTTATGTCAAATCGATTATACTGTGACGATAGTCTAATTTATTTATAGTTTATTTATATAATACTTAGACACTAACTAACAATTCCAATTTATTTATTACAATTTAACGTTTAACTCTCTACTAAACTATGTGCCGATGAGTCGGCTATGTATACCAAGCCAATTCTGTGCTCGTAGTTTCTGGGCGCTCCCGAAAATTCCATCTCTATGACTCAACGGCAGTTTCTCGAAGCGTCAGCGGCATACCTAGAAGATTTCGTCGTTTCTTGTATATTCGAGACGCGGACCGACTATCTTAACACGTCAGCGTTGCTTCGATCATGAATCGAGTGGCAGACTTCCAAGGTCGTGCTTACACAGGGTTGGCTCCGCATCACAATACTTTATTATGTTTTTCTCTTATTCAATTAAAAATGTTTCTATTTAAATTTGATGAACAAGATTATGAACTACTATTTTACAATAGCAAAAAATATCGCCAGCACTATTAAAAAGTTAATCCAAAATAAAATAGACTGTTAGATAGCAGAGCCGCTTTACTTTTGTGGCCTGGGCCCTAAAAATACTTTTTAGTAGTTCATTTGTAGTATATTTAAAAGTTCTACTTTTTGATTATGATTTCTGTCCGAAAAAAGACGTTTTATGTCTCATTCGAATAAAAATACTTTTAAGGCCTAAGCCGCAAAAGTAAAGCGACTCTGCTATCTAAACATTCAGTTTAATTTTCAGTTTTCTTTTTAATACTGCTGGGCGATAATGTTTTTTGCTATTGTAAAATAGTAGTCGATAATCCACATATATATCAAATTTGAATAGAAACATTTTTAATTGAATAAGAAAAACTAAATATATAATTATTAAATGGAATTGACACATAAGCACATTGACATGACAGCAACTGTTCAACTGTTACCAAGAATATATCTACCTATTCATTTTGATCACACCATCTCAGTTACAAGAACAATTGAAAATAATATCATTTCTGATTTAATTTTCTACATTAAATAAAACAATAAAAAATAATGCATGAAACACGGGCGAAAAGTGTATTTTTGGACTCCTACGAGTTGACAGGCTCAACTACGTCCTTATAACATAAACTACTATTTTATGTTATGAGTGCAACATAGTATGTAAGCGACATAAAAGTACAAGTATATAAAAAAAATCAGAAATGGACTTTGGGTTTATACATTGGATCCCTCAATTACTCTTGTACTCAATAGGAATTATCGTAATTTTACTGATAGAATTCTTAAAATTTTAAAAATGTAATGACTGAAGAAAAATTGAAAAGAATCTGGTTATCTTGGTTGTATTTGAATTTTATATTTCTAGTTAATTTATAAACAGGGACCACTGCCTGGTTCGAATCCTGCCGGGAATTTATATAATAAATATAAGTATGTAAATTAATGAACTACACTTCTACTACTAATTTACCTATTAAAGTTTCCAAAATGGCGATAATTTAGCATAATACAAATGGAACAATGCATATTATTTTTTTATTATTCATTGGTGTTCCACTATAATTAAATATTAAGAAAAACATTTGTATTTGTTTAAATACATATTTTTTTAAATATAATTGACCTATTTTCAAGTAAAAAACGTTCAAAACCAATGCGAAATCCTTTGAATTGCCGATTTCTTATTGAAGATAAATTTTTTTGTATATTGTTTGTTGACCAGTTATTAAAATCTTTTACTAAATAAATCAAATTAAAGATTTATCTATGTATTCGAATTACATTATTTCTGTTATTTTTTTAATAATATTTATTTTAATAGATTTTATTACATTATCACTTTTATTATTTTGTAAATGTGATAACTCAAAATGTGTAAATTGATAAAATTATAACAAATCAATTATAGAAAACACAAAAATATAAATAAAAAATGTATCTTTACATCAGATTTTTTCGTCCAACAAATAGTACGGAATAGTAATTTCTAAAATATGTATTTTTTTATATTAAATTAAATGTCTATTTTAAAAACGCCCACTCGCATTTACCTGGCATTTTTTCAAGCACTTAGATCATAATATTATCTCTAACCGCATTACCAATTTTGTTGATGCTTCCGGTATTTTAATAGAACTTCTATTTTCATTATCACTCGATAATCTTGTAAGATGTTCCTAGTTAACTTGAGACAATGACATTAACTGAAAACTTTTTGTCCAACTACTTCCTTGTACCATAAAAATTATTATAGAATTTATCAAGTTCATTGACGTTTTTTTTTTAGAAATCATGTACACATGTTTATAACGGATAGGTCTTTAATAGGTGTTGGCATGATGTACAAATTTTGATATGTCTTTGAACTTGCCGCGAGTTTAACTTACTTTCTTAATTTTTTAAAAATGGTTTTAATTGCCAAAACAAATAGTTGTTACTTTAGTACATTAAAATATTTTTAGGCGCTTGTACCTATTTGACTGTTAGGCGGAGCTGATTTAAAAATTAACAAAATCAGTTCTGAATTTGAATGAAATATAATTTTTTTTAATTTTATTTACTTTAGATTCCCTTTAGACTTTTTATTTAAACTTTATAGTACTTTATATTGCAGCGTCAACTAATGTGTGAACTAACGGAAGATATTTGCGTATATCGACAATACAATTTTTAATAGAATTCGTAATTAAAAAATATGTACCTATGTTGGTTAATTTAATATTATATATTTTATATTTTTTTATTGCTTCAGAAAAATCAATAAAAAATATAATTAAAACATAGGCAGGCAACAGTATTTACGAGAAATGTATGAGAAGTTGCCTAAGCCTGATGAGTTAAAGAATAGATTAAACAATGTTCAAATTATAAAAAATACCATTAAATAATAACGTACGGAATCAAAATATACCAACAAAAAAATGTTATATTTGCGAATGTAGTTTGAAAGAAAAGATAGAATTAATGATTGAAACTAGTTTCCTATCAGTAAGTCACAAAATTGCATTCCAGTTACATTTAAGGGATAGGTATTTAAGAACATCGTAAAATGAAAATTTATTTATATAAAACCTTTCAATTTTCTGATATCTACCTTTTGCAGTATTAGTGTTTTTATTACAAAAATAAAGGTACTTTTTCTTTAATTATCCCAGCTAACCATTGATTTCTTTTATTTCATCTCCATTTTGCTACTGAAATCTTTTAAAAGTTCTAGACTGCTTTTGTTTGCTAGTATTTTTATAATTTATGACACAGCAACTCCGATTGCTCATTGTATTGTTTTTAATAATTAAAGAAAAAAGTAAAATGTATACAAGTATTTGATTGGCCAAAATAACAAAATATCGCCCTAAACTAAGTCCATCCAAGCAATGGAGTGCTCTAAAACATTATCATGCATAGTGCACGTGATCTGTCAAACGGAGGGTGCTTGTAGAGTCGCACTAAGGGATGACCGGGATTTTATTAGATTTTTATTATATTATATTATATTATATTATGTGCTTTAGCAATCCCGTCGATAATGTGTTTATATTTGGTTTTATGTTCATTTATTAACAACTAGTTTAAAAGAAAAAATTCATTTAATAAATAATTTACCTATCCTCTAAAATAATACTTTCATACTGATCCGCTAAGCTTTGGTCTATTCCAAGTAACTCCTGGGCATAGGCTCCTGAACAAGGACATCCAGCTCTGGCTTGTATTCCGAAAACGTCATTTAAAACGGCACAAACGAAGTTATGATGGAGGAAGCTTCCTCTAGGATGCCGCACCATGAACGAAAACACTGAAATTCGTTTCAGATTTGGAGAGTTGTTTCCTAAGAGAATGACTTCTGGAATGGTTCGGATGTGTTGGAGCATTTGTCTGAAAAATAACAAACTAATCTTGGAATACTATAAAAAATCTCACTGTAAAAAAATAAAAAAAAGATGTTTTAAAATTATTAATTAAGTATATATTCCACGCAATCCGAATTCATAGATATGTCAAAAACATTTGTTTTGCTGCAAGTCTCGGAAAAGCACTTTTTGTTTTTATCAAAAGAAAGCGAAAAATGATTTAATTTCGTTTGATATTTTTCTGAAAAGGCTAAATATTGAAATCCTGAATAGTTTCCATGTGAAAATAATTTTGCCCAGTTTTCAGCTTGTGGAAGTGCTGTAGTTAGGAAATCGGCAAAGAAAAAATTATTGCTACAGTTTTCTAATTGTAAAAAGGGAATATTACCGTTCTATTAGAGTTTGTCTTGTGGAAACAAATGAAACCATATAAAGTGTAAAAAATAAAACCATAAAAAGTGTTAGGGTTAATATTTTATAATTCATTTCTTCCAGTTGTGTAATTTAAAACATTTAAATTTTATTACTGTAGAATAATATTTAGATTAAGTAATGTACCCAATAAAACTCAGAAATTGAAACAAGAATTTTATAGGATTGTAAAAATAGTTTAAATTTGTTAAACATAACTTGTCGATTCAACATGTTACATTTTTAACTCTAAACATTTATATTAATTTTAAAGCTGTTTTAATGCAATAAAAACTTGCACCATCTTTGCGTTGGTCTATAATCTTAAAATAGGATGTATTATTTTTAAACATATTAAAAATGTTTGTTATAGAATTAAATAATAGTAGTTTTTATAATACTATAATTTTAATTCATGAGTTTTATTAATTTATAAAATAAAAAAAATTTTACTCCGGACCATTAGAATAGGAACTCAAATTGTTGGCCTAACATTTGACAGTACTAAATAATTATTCATATTAAGCATTCCAAACAAAATGGCTACCCGTAGGAAATGACAGGCACATGATAGGTTATAATTTGGCAACACTGTGGACCGGGTGATTTGACAGAATCACTCGTATAGATAGGTATATAGATTTTTCATCCATGTTTTTTAAAATAAACATAAGCAATTGCCTTGAAGTTAAAATGTAGGTAATTATTTTTATTTTACTATTAAAAGGCTGGAAATTGGTTTTAAAACAGATTTTTGCTAAACCAACTCAAATTAATGAACACCTGCCAAGCAATATGGCCACTCGTAAACGAGGTTTTTAAATATTACCATGGAATATAAATAACTTGGTTATAATAATCATTTTTAAGTTAAATAGTTAAAGTCAACAAAAACTTCTGATTTTATTAATTATTTATTTTTTTACATTTTACGTGACGACTATTTAATAGTCATTGTTTTTAATTATTTAATGATGCAGATGCATGAATTACATAATGTTATTAGATAATTTTTGAAGAAACTGCATAATTTCATTATTTTTATCTTAAATAAATGTTAAAGTACATTATTATTTAGATAAAAATATATTTCAATCAAAAATTTTAAAAAATTAATATTTTTCAAAAAAAAATTATATAATTTGATTTATTTGAGCGAATAAATAGTTATTTCAAATATTTTTTAAAATTAAATATTAATTAATGTATTCTTTTGACACTTGAAGACTTTTGAATAAAATTGTCTATCTATGCAAAATATAATACTTTCATTTGCATTGTTCTTGCATAACTTTCATTTAATTATTTAGAAAATCATATTATTATTCTTAACCACTTGTTGTCGGGTAGTAATGTTTTGATTATTTTCTGCAGATTTAGGGTGGAAAATAAGGATCGAAACAAAATTATTACTAATTGTAAGTTCACTAACAAAATCTATTTTTATATAGCCAACCTTTATTCCTGCGATATAAACTTTCAAAGTCAATGTATATATTGATTTTAAAACCAAAACAAGCTTATTTTATGTTTTCTTTTTGCAACTGTGACAATCGGTTACATAATGTTCAACTTTATGTAACTACATAAAAGTAGATAATTTTGACACTTACTGCTATTACAAAAAATGTCACTTTATTGTCAAAATTAGAAAAACATAAAGTGCTTCATTCTGATGTTTAAAAAGTGCTCAAAATTATTTAAATGAATAGCTTTTTGGTTTGTGAAAAATAAAAAAAAAATAATAACCTAAACTTTTTTACAAGATATTGCTATTGGCAACGTAGGAAAACTACTTTTCCATCGGCTGCGAGCAGAGGTAAAAATATACAGGATATGTCCCATAGGAAATAACAAAGTGGTCCTATATCTGAAGGTCAAACTCATTTCCGATGTAACCGGAAGTAAATTACAAAAGTGAAATATACGTGTGTCCTTCATTCAAAGCAATGTTCGCACTGGTAAAGCAGGCATCGCAGAATCCGATTACAATGAGAAGAACACCACCCACTGTCATAACCATTATTTCAAATTTCAAATACTTCTATATTAACTATCAATAAATATGGAATAGGTAAGTTATTTGGTATAAAAAAATAATTTCTGCTCGCGAAACAAATCAATTTTCGCGAGCCTGTCATTTGTCACCTATAAGTAGGATATTTGTTTGTGTACATTGTGTTGGTTTTGAGCGGGATTTTGTATTTGTGATTTTTTAACAGTTTTTAAATAATATCATTATAATAGTATTTTTGAGTTTCATTTAGTGTTAATTTAAGTTTAGTTTCCGTACTTTCGTCATAAATATAATATTTATCATGTGTTTATGGCTAATTTGTTGAAAATCTTCACCTATCTGGATGCTACACAAATATCTAGAAATATTTGTTTACTAAACGCAGGACATGTTTTATTAAGTGGTTCAAAGGAAATTTTAGGCTCCCAACGTTTATTATTGATAAACTTAATTAAAAATATTTCTATCCTTATTCCTATATTATAAAGTGAATGGTGTAGTACTTTGTATACATGTAAACGGTGATAAAACTGTCACAATGCAGTTTGATTCTAGACAAAATTTTGCAAAATCTTAATTTGTAGATATCCATTTATCGTAAGAAACAAAATTTTACGCTTAGAAAATAATGAAAACTTCAGTTTTATTTTGACATTAACACCATATAGATTGCATTTTGCTAGGGGCTTTTTCGCAAATTTCATTTTTAATATAAACGAATTATAATTGTTGATACAAATTAAAATATAAACATCGAACACGAACGCCAATGTTGCCAAATGATGAACTGATTTTAAAACAAAATTGAAAAAATTTACTGTAATTAAAGAAAAAAAGCAATATAATAAATCGGTTTTAGAAAAATCCTTTATAGTATGATTACAAAAAGCTACACACAAATTTTGCTACTTAAGAAAAGGTCTTTCCACTTCTTCAAGGGCTAAAAATTGTAGCTAAATTCCGCTACTCCTGGCAACACTGAACAAAGACATACTTAACAAATTTCCTCCAGAGGGCGTATCACTTAGCTTGAATCCCTATAATATTAACTCGCCACTAAACCCACAGTAGGCGGCGATATCCAACGAATTAGGTGATGAGGTAGCTGTGTTTTTCTTATTATAATCGGACCTTACTATCTTTTCCATAAATCTATCGATGATGAAATACCTAACAATAACTATTATTCTCTGTTCAATGGTGCTACAAATGAGGGAACATCAATAGAGTTGCCAGATTTACGAAAGTGAAAATCGTGACAACCGTGAAGACAGAGCATCAGGTTCAAATACCAATCATTTTTATATAATTAGTTCCATTAATTGTGAATTTACTAAAAAAAAGTCCTCGACTTGTATTTTTCGTAAACGAGGGTCCTTTAGCCGATATTTATCTAAAAGAAAACTTATATTTTTCAATAAATCCAGTTTCTCCATTTTATTTACGACTTTGACATAAAAAGAGTGACATTTTTGTCAAAAGCGGGACATTTTCGTACTGCGGCGTTATGCGTACAAGCAAGTCAAAAAGCGTGGAAAATGCGCCAAAAGCGTGACGTCTGGCAACCCTAAACATCAAGCTAACAATGTGAATCTATGATTGTTCTTATTAGACGTGACAACTAATATATATATTAAGAAGTTACTTTATTTTTATTTTTTAGATTGTACGAAAACCCGAAAAAAATAAATTGGCTTTTAGAAAAATATATTTTCAAATTAAAACTATACATTAAAACACTTTCTTGTGCATTAATTCTTATATTTCTTCTTACAATTTAAATACACAAACGTAAATAAAACAAAATGGATAGAACTAAAGAAAATCCATCACAAACCGTTCAAGGTCGTACCGGTGAAACAAATTTGTTGAAAAAAAATTAGACACGTGTAAAAAACCAACATTAATACCTCATATACTTTTTAAATGCTTTTAAATATATTGCTCCATATTAATTCTTATCTCTTTGTACCTACCTATAGTAAGACTTATTTGTATCCTCTTAATCGTATAGGTATATTTTTTTTATTTTACTCAATTCATTGTTATTTCCATATTTTAACAATTTAATGATTTTGAATAGCAATTCTTAGAACAAATAAATAATGTCAATGTCAAAGATCTGATTATTTCTGGTCTGTCTCGTGTGCGGTTACTAACTGTGAGATGATTAAACAAGTGCGAAATGCAAGCCCACATATCACTTGTAAATGATAATTTGATTTCATTTATTCGTTTTATTTGAATACCGAGGCGAAATGCGAGACATTCGACGGATTCGTGTCATGGACTTACGTTATTTCTCTTAAAATTAATGATATCAAAATAAAATACTAAAAATTATTATTTTATTACTGAATGTTCAGTGGGTGTTAATAATAAAATGCATTTTATATCATAATAACTTTAATTTTAATTTTTAAAGCGAATATAACATAAGGTTGTCGAGTTAAAGAAAGAGGATGAACTGATCGAAAAATTGAATGGCAGCTATTTTTTATTTTTTCGTTCGAAATATAATGTCAATTTTAAATTTCAAGGAAACATTTCCAATCTTTATACCTGCAATGAAATTCGATACAATAAAGAGCAAAATAATGGAAAATAATCGAGAAAACTGGAAGTACTAGAAGTACAAAAAAGTATACAGTACGTTAACCGAGGCAAAATAATGAGACGTTTAATTATATTTGGATGTGAAAGCGATAAAGAGTGTAATTGGTTTGACCATGGCAAAAATAGGATATTGCGGTCCGCATTCGGCGACGTATTATTCTATTCAATTGTTTCTCTGTCGTTCTTCTGGAGTCAGGATTAAAAAGTTAACATATTGTATAGTAGGAACCAAAAAATCTGCTAAATGGTGAGAGTTGGTAGGAATTCTTCAGTCTTATCTTTTTATTTTTAAAAGTAATATACAGTACCTTCATTGGGTTCTCAACAAAACAATCTGTGAAGAAAAATAAAGGAGCAAGTATATAAAACTTCAAGTGTATCCCTCTTTACAGTATTTAAGTGAAACATGGACGATCTAGAAAATCCATGAAAATGTAATTATTGTTGTATAGAGACAGCTTGGGAAACTCAAGATGAATGGATCAGAAATGAAGCAGCAAGGGCACATTTAGATCAACAGCCAATTACAATCAAGCTTCAGCGGAGACAATTGGTATAGAGTCAGTCACAAGTTACAAGGTTGAAAGAAGAAAGATAACCAGAAAGAAGGTAGGAAGCAGAGGTCGGTGTTGGCCTAGGAAGACTTGCATACATATTACAGCACAAATGTACGAGAATTAAAAGGATATTAAGATTGTAGCCAGATACCGAAGGGTATGTGAGAATTGGGTTAAACAGGTGATAATTGGGTTAAACAGCTAAAAATTATCTCACTCACATCCCTGTTGAGAAGAAGTTTCGCAGAACAGGATTTTCAAAATAATCATAATATTGAAATTCGTGTCCTAATTAAAAAATAACAGTTTACTCTTTATTTTCTAAATTGATAAGGTTAAACCTTTAACCCGTAATATGATAAATAGGAGTATACAATTAATAAACAAATTAGTAGTCCATATTAGGATTATTTTTAAAATGTTGTAATCAGAACTGAGCAAAGTACTCGAAAAAAGTGCTTCAAGCACCAATCACTAAGCCCTTTGGAAAAGTAATTGCCAGCATTAAACACCAAGTACTTTGGAAATTATAAGTGATTGCAATTACCAATTACCGAGAGAAGAAATTTAATTACCAAGTACCAATTACCCAAAACAACCTTAACTGCAAAACTTTGAGAATAAATTATTAATAACAAAATATCTTTTTGACCACTGTACTCGTATTGATTGTTGTCGATGTTGTAAATGGTTGCCATAATAGTTATTTTAGTCCAAAATTCGAAAAACCATGCAAAAATGGGGAATATAAAAAACTTAATTTTTTTCGAATCTGTAAAATTCAATTCCAATATTTTTAGGGGCGATTCTACATAAGAAAACATGAAAATTTCTTTATATGTGCATAGATTCGGAAGAACATAACTTTTTTAAATCATTTTTTATAAATATCATTTACATCCTTTGGCAGTGTTGTTTAAAGTAACAAGGAGCCAATTTAGCCCTAAGTGGATGAAAATTATTAAGTTCAGTGGCGTCCAAAACAACGTATCAACAAATTTTAACAAAATCGAGTACCTAAAGGATATTACTGAAATTTATAAAAAACTGATTAACATCTTGAAAACTATGAATTTTAGGATCTATGTTAAAAAAATTCATGTTTTCCTATGTAGAATCACCCTAAAAATAATTGGAACTGAATTTCAGGAGACCTATGTTATCAGATTCAGATTTTTTTTTCCAATATTTGCTTATTTTTGTAAGGTTTTTTGAACTTTATACTAAAATTACTATTTACAACTAACAGTGACCAATCAATGAGAGTATAGTGTTCAAAAAGACATTTTGTCATTAACACTTTATTCACAATATTTCGCAGTGGGATCTGGGACTATAAAAAAACTTAGATATAAACGAAAAGAACAAAATAAATACAAAAAATAGTAAATAAGTCATAAGCAAGCACATAAAATCTAATTGTACTTGCAAGTCCTTTAGTGCGTGTAAGCAATTTAAATGACTTGAAATGCAAAATTCAATTACCAATTACCAAGCACTTTTTATAAAAGCCTTCAATTACCAATTAACGAGTACTGTATTTTAAAAGTGCTCGAAGAAGCACTTTTCTAAGCACTTTCGAGGCAATTACTGTCCAGCTCTAGTTGTAATATCCCTACGCTCTGGTGAGTACTGCAAAATAATTTACTCGTATTAACAATACACTCCCTTACAATTAAAGTCCTAAATCTCTGAAGCGACTATTTTTATTATCTGCCGTGGCTTTACGGGGCGACTTACAGATGGATGATAGTGTCATTTGGCTTACAGGTAAGAAATACCCAAACAATACCACCCATCATCATGAAACAGTAATCCTGAAGGGGAAACCACGTACCCGTATTTCGGAAATCACCTAGAATTTTTTATGTGATTTCGGTGATTTCACTGAAAATCCACCTTATTTTATACGATGACCTTTTTTGGACAAGTCCCTTGTCTTTTGATCCACAAACTGCTGCATTTACGTTTTTGAGCGACGAATTGATTTCGAAATGATTTCGACGATGATTTCGACAATGATTTTTGATGATGATTTCAGTATTTTCGAGAAAATTTGTCGTGATTTCGAGTGAAAACATACCAGTATTTCAGGAACATAAATTACCGAAAGAGTAAAATTCAAAATCAATACCACAAAGTCTTAATTGAAACGAATAGAGAAAAAGTGCGACTAGTTTGGGCCTATGAGGCCATCTTCAGGCAATAATAAATTAACGTAAGTAAGAGTAGCTAGGTTAATAAAATGCAATTGTTGAAGCTTTCACAGAACTATTAATAATATCAATAATCAATCATATCTAGCAAAAAAGTAGTGGTTTCTATTGGTCAAAATTAATTTTATAACGAAAAGTGTGCTGTAATGAGATTTAATACACTTAAAACGGTTTTGATAAGTAATTTAACGTATAGGAGTAGAACAATATTTTTATAATATACTTACTTATTAATTTTTTCTTGCCTTTGGACGATATTGGTGACAGACACGGTTTCTTTCAGTTGCATGACGAGACCAGCCCGAATGGATTCCACTACAGCTGCACAACTACCGTCTTCCTGTACATCGAAACTCTGAAATAAAATCATACAATTAATTCAATAAGAAAACGTTGAAACTTTGAAACAGAGAAGGTACATTTTATCTGTTTTGCTGGAGTATCGATTTGTTAACAAATTTATGCCGTACAATCTTCCAAAAATAGTGTGTGTGACAAAATTTATAATTTTGCCGGGCACACTATCTAGTAGTCAAAAGCCATACATTCCATATAAAAGGTTTTTTCTGTTTGCTCTTTATTTACTTTTTTTATAAACAAGAATATTGATAAATTCAGAATACATTAGTTAGACTGTTAAAAAATCTAAAAATATTGACTAATTCCACAAAAAACACATGTCCAACTTTGCTCGATATTTTAAATTGTGTCATAGATACACAAACAAATTTCAAATAAAAGACATATGAATTTTTAAAAACTTATTTAGGATCTGTCATTTTTGGCTTCTAAAATTCTTAGATTCCAATTTTAGTCAAAATCTGCCAAATAATTAAAAAAAAACTGTTTATCCTGTATATAACTGATCGGAACTATAACTGGTTTTGAGACAGAAAAGAACCTTATCTGCATACAAAATTTGAAGTTTTTATTTCAAGCAGTTTTTGAGCTATCGTTCCAATAGACAGACGATAGACCGACAAACCGACGGAATGGGGAAACATATTTTTCGTAATCTAGTGACCCTAAAACGTGAAAATCTGAAATAACCTCGAAAGGAGACTTTTTCACGATTACAATACCTCCTTTTTATAGAGGGAAGCAAAAACATTCCAAAAATTCTTCTATTTGTTTGATTATCTCCGGTTTAAGGACACCAAATATATATACAGGGTGTCCCAATAGTGTGTGGAAGTTCGATATATCCTATATTATAGAAAATATCAAACAATGTTATTTACAAAAGTTGTAGATAATATTAATCTGCGCATTTCAAAATTATTTTCGATTACACAGAGTGATCCATAACTTCAGAATGGACCACCCTGTATTCAATTGTAAATTTGAATTCCCCTAACTTTGCCCTTCAAGAAGATACCAAAATGTATGAGGTTATACTGGGTATTTTGGAAGTTTAAACCAATTTTATATGAAAATCGTACTAGGTTCAATCCTCTGTATATTTCAAAAGAAACAATCGAACATCAACATTTTTTTGATGAATCAATTTTAATGATAGTCTACTTTTATAAGAATATACTAATTTTTTTCTAGCGTAACAGACGTGTACAGGGTGAGTCAAAACTCAGATACATGATTTTCTCAATTTTTTTAACACCCTGTATTTCATATCACTACTAAAAAGTACTCTAATTATACGTTCGTTTGAGTTAAATATTGCCCAATCCTAAACACAACAGTTTAGCGAGATTAATTATAACTAAATTCACAATGTAATTTGATTTAAACTCCTGTTAAATAGTACATACTAGTTACTAGTTAATAATATATTTTTAAGGTACCTGGTACAATTTTTTATCAACTGAATTTATACTTTGGGACCTTTACAACTTATAAAATGCAACGAAAACGCTAACAGAACTTCAAATTTTTTTTGTGCATTAGGTCAAGTGGGCTTTGAAATTCATGTCAAAAGAATAATTTGACAGTTCTGAATTGTTTAAATAAAAAAATAAAATTACGTTTAGTAATTAAATTTATTGATTTGACTAATTTAAAAATGAATTTTGAAACGAATGAATCGATTGATATGATTTTAGTGCTAGGGGCTAGTGATGAAAATTGCTTGTTAGCAACTAGAATTTATAAGCAAAAATATCCTGATCGCCGACAACCTCGTAAAGAAATTTTTGAAAATCTGTTGGAAATATTCAAACGTACAGGTAATTGTAGCATATCAAAAAAATGATAGAGAAAAACGAACTTTAAATGAACAAAATGAGGTTAAGGACGATATTAGGAACAGTAATTTTGTCACTTTTTCCATAAAGATTAAGTAAAACCATAATATTTTTACACTTTATAATTTTCTATAAGTGTGCACTAACCTAATTAAAGCAACAAATATTATTAAAACACATTTGTAAGCAAAAAAATTAGGAATATGCATTTATTCAAGACATTCTCACGTAGCCATATTGTTTTAAATTTTTTCGATTTGACAGTCACACTAAGAGCGCCTCTGCGTGATTTTAGCGATGTTGCCAATTGCTTTTTGTTCTAAATAAATATATTCATGGCAATACCGTTCTATATTATTTTTTGTTTATGAATAATATGACAACTGACATTTGTATTTCTATAAATGTGGTGTTGTCAAACATAGTAAAAGAACGTACATAACAGGAATGACAGTGGCTGTTTTTTCAATAGCTCCAGGCCAGATGATAAAACCAGAATATAAATATGTTTATTTGAGACTTTTCATTTCAATTATTCAATTTGAGCGGTGTCCAGGCCGTTGGAGTCTATGCCGGTCGGCGTAGCCAAGTATGGGTTGATGTTTTTTGGTGGCGGCTTCGCCGCCACCCTACGATACGTCGTTGCTTCGTTTTCTTGTTGCATATTTATAGACCGGTATGCGCAAACACAATTTTCCATTAACTACTAATTTTATCACAATCCGACAACGTTGCAATTATATTTTCCAAATTTGACAGAAACCATCGAGTTTCGATGTTTACAGTTGTCAAAATGCTGATTTTTAGAAAAATTAAATAATTTTTTTTTTGCTTAAATAATGCATTTACCGCAATTTTTTTTAAATGTACTATTTAAAATACGCTCTTTCTGATAAAAAATAAATTTCTTTAAAATTCCACTGTCCCTAAAGTCGTCCGGACCTCAAAATGAACTCAGTATTCTACTTAGTGTTACCGAAAATCCAAACAGCAGTACACGCATCATGGAAAATGAAACGGGAATAAGTAAATCATCTGTCAATAGGATACTATTAAAAAATAAAGTACATCCATACCATATCCAACGTCATCAGGAGCTTCTTGAAAACGATTTTCAAAAAAGAATAGCTTTTTGTGAATGGGCAATAGAGAGCATTAATAATGAAAATGACCAAACTTTGCATCGAATGGGAATGAATCAACATTTCACAAAGACGGTTTCGTCAATAGACACAATTTTTAATACTATCCACCACCAATCCTTATGAGTTAATGACACATAGCCAAACACGATGGTTTATTAACGTTTGGGGTGGTGTATTAGGGGACTATGTCATAGACCACATTTCTTTCATGGTCGTGCAACTGCCGAGGTCTACTTAGATTTTCTGCAGAATCATCTACCACTACTATTGGAAAATGTTCCACTAAATATAAGACGCCAAATGTGGATATTACATGATGGAGCTCCTGTACATCATGCTCAACCAGTTCGCAACTTTCTGAACCATAATTTTGAATACATGTGGATTGGAAGAGATGGTCCCGTTATGTGGCCTCCCAGGTCCTCTGACCTCACTAAAGTAGATTTTTTTGTGTGGTTTCGTAGAAAACGAGGTTTATAAAACTAGTCCATCAACTAGCGAGGAAATGAAGGAAAGAATAAGACAAGTGTTCGCGAGCATAGATGTACAATGTTTGAAAAACGTTCAAAGATCATTTGAAGCTAGATTACAACATTGTATTGCAGTTGGAGGAAGTCACTTTGAGCAGCTTTTATAATAGCTTTTTTTATGTTTTAATATACTAATGTTGCATTCTAAAAAAATTAAAATAACTTATTTTTATCTCATATTTTTTTCATTCAAATATAAAATATCTTCTAAACTGTTGTGTTTAGGGATAGGGACAAACGAACGTATAATTAAAGTACTTTTAGTAGTGATATGAAATACAAGGTGTAACATTTAAAAAAATTGAGAAAATTATGTATCTGAGTTTTGACTCACCCTGTACAGGTCTGTTGAGCTAGGAAAAAATTAGTATATTCTTATAAAAGTAGATTATCATTAAAAATGATTCATCAAAAAATTTTGATGTTCGATTGTTTTTTTTGAAATATACAGAGGGTTGAACCTAGTAAGATTTTCATATAAAATTGGTTTAAACTTCCAAAATACCCAGTATAACCTCATACATGTTGGTATTTTCTTGAAGGGCAAAGTCAGGGGAATTCAAATTTACAATTAAATACAGGGTGGTCCATTCTGAAGTTATGGATCACTTTGTAAAATCGAAAATAATTTTGAAATGTGCAGATTAATATTATCTACTACCTTTGTAAATAACATTGTTTGATATTTTCTATAATATAGGATATATCGAACTTCCACACACTATTGGGACACCCTGTATATTTGTGTCTTTTACTAATAGATCATCTCGATTCTTGTTGCTAAAGAGCCCAGATTTATTTGTGTTACATTGTAAACCTACCTGTAGCAGAAACAGCTGTCTAAGATTAAGATTGCAAATCAATTAAATTAATTTATGTTTATGACATTAAATTAGGTTTCCTTTATAATGCCAAGGCGCTTATATCCAAACACTCAGAAGGAGATTATTATGAATAACAGCAAGTAGTTAATACAATTATAAACTATGTGGCCATATTTATTAATTAATGTCTACTTTAATAGATTCTAAAAGGATGTTTACCACAAAAAGACTTGCATTTTAAACTAGAGTCGAGATAATTTGAAAAGTTTTAATGAACCTCTTTTTTTATTGGAGTTTAATAATTCAAGGTGAACTTAGTTAATACGTAATAACCTAATTACAAATTTTAGACTCACCTTATCGTGATCATTAGATACGAAAAATCCATCTGGATCACAAGTATTTAACCGTCGAAAGATGCACTTTTTGGCAATTAGTATACCTGAAAATAAGAAATAAAATTTATTTAATCAATATTAAAAAAAAAATGTGCATAAATGTAGGACGAAGATGTTGATTTTAAAAATCGTTTTTCTGGTCAAATGCATAAGTGTTTAAATGGCATTTTTATAACATAAAAGTAACGAATAACTAAATAAATATATTCCAACCGCTGCATTAATCTTCTTTACTCTTCTTGGTCTATGTCTATGCTATATTCTCCATCAGTAAAACCGTTTTAAAGCAGTATGCCATAGGCGCACCAACTAATAAAATAAAGTATTAAATTAATAATTTAAAAAATAACTGTATGTATATGTTTGTATTCTTTTTTTCTAGCTAGTACTATAGATGAAGCGGGTGTAAAATAGGTAATTTAATAGTCAGGAGTATTGTTCTAAAGAAACAAACAAGCATTTCAAAAAATTTAATTCTTGCATAAGTGCTATTTTTAAAATGTCATATTAGAAGGATTTCAGAAAAAAACTTCAAAATTATTATAAGAGGTAAGTATCTTAATTAATTAAAGTACATATCTGAATTATTCTTGGAAATATCAATAAGTTATGTTATATATACAGACCTGTTCGCTATACTTACGCGGGTTTCAGATTAACAAAATTATGCAAATTAGTCATTGACAACCAGTTCCAAGAAGCCTCTTCCCAAGAAATTAGGTAAAATTGTGTGACGGCCCACCCCCTGCCCCCTCTTTAATTGTGATTTTGTTCATTGTTTTACTCTCTGAAATGTTATTATTTACCTCGCAAGTTTTACTTTACTTTAAATTCTTTACTTACTGTATTTGGCCTTTTTCCTCTAGCAGTAGAAGTGATCGTCTAGTTAATTAATTGATAATTTATATACCCACGTTGTGATAATGTTAATTACGGTAAACCAGAATTCGATGAAAAGTTTGGTGCAAATTGATAAATAAAACATATAAATTCATATTTAAACTCTTTTTTATTTTTCATACTTTAAATGTGATGCAATAATTAGCAAAGTATATTACAATTGTTACTATTTACTGAGATCTCACTTGAGTCCCGTTCAAACGCAGACCATATTCATTTGATATCAATATATTGTTATGTTTGTTCTTAAACACAACCTTTACAATAGCCCGTTGAACGCCTTTCTTTCTCTTTCCGAGGGGTAGTTTCAATAAGCACTTCTAATTTTATTTTAATTTCATTTTAATTTCATTTTAATTTTATTTTAATTTCATTTTAATTTCATTTTAATTTTATTTTAATTTCATTTTAATTTCATTTTAATTTTATTTTAATTTTATTTTAATTTTATTTTAATTTTATTTTAATTTTATTTTAATTTTATTTTAATTTTATTTTAATTTTATTTTAATTTTATTTTAATTTTATTTTAATTTTATTTTAATTTTATTTTAATTTTATTTTAATTTTATTTTAATTTTATTTTAATTTTATTTTAATTTTATTTTAATTTTATTTTAATTTTATTTTAATTTTATTTTAATTTTATTTTAATTTTATTTTAATTTTATTTTAATTTTATTTTAATTTTATTTTAATTTTATTTTAATTTTATTTTAATTTTATTTTAATTTTATTTTAATTTTATTTTAATTTTATTTTAATTTTATTTTAATTTTATTTTAATTTTATTTTAATTTTATTTTAATTTTATTTTAATTTTATTTTAATTTTATTTTAATTTTATTTTAATTTTATTTTAATTTTATTTTAATTTTATTTTAATTTTATTTTAATTTTATTTTAATTTTATTTTAATTTTATTTTAATTTTATTTTAATTTTATTTTAATTTTATTTTAATTTTATTTTAATTTTATTTTAATTTTATTTTAATTTTATTTTAATTTTATTTTAATTTTATTTTAATTTTATTTTAATTTTATTTTAATTTTATTTTAATTTTATTTTAATTTTATTTTAATTTTATTTTAATTTTATTTTAATTTTATTTTAATTTTATTTTAATTTTATTTTAATTTTATTTTAATTTTATTTTAATTTTATTTTAATTTTATTTTAATTTTATTTTAATTTTATTTTAATTTTATTTTAATTTTATTTTAATTTTATTTTAATTTTATTTTAATTTTATTTTAATTTTATTTTAATTTTATTTTAATTTTATTTTAATTTTATTTTAATTTTATTTTAATTTTATTTTAATTTTATTTTAATTTTATTTTAATTTTATTTTAATTTTATTTTAATTTTATTTTAATTTTAATTTTATTTTAATTTTATTTTAATTTTATTTTAATTTTAATTTTATTTTAATTTTATTTTAATTTTATTTTAATTTTATTTTAATTTTATTTTAATTTTATTTTAATTTTATTTTAATTTTATTTTAATTTTATTTTAATTTTATTTTAATTTTATTTTAATTTTATTTTAATTTTATTTTAATTTTATTTTAATTTTATTTTAATTTTATTTTAATTTTATTTTAATTTTATTTTAATTTTATTTTAATTTTATTTTAATTTTATTTTAATTTTATTTTAATTTTATTTTAATTTTATTTTAATTTTATTTTAATTTTATTTTAATTTTATTTTAATTTTATTTTAATTTTATTTTAATTTTAATTTTATTTTAATTTTATTTTAATTTTATTTTAATTTTATTTTAATTTTATTTTAATTTTATTTTAATTTTATTTTAATTTTATTTTAATTTTATTTTAATTTTATTTTAATTTTATTTTAATTTTATTTTAATTTTATTTTAATTTTATTTTAATTTTATTTTAATTTTATTTTAATTTTATTTTAATTTTATTTTAATTTTATTTTAATTTTATTTTAATTTTATTTTAATTTTATTTTAATTTTATTTTAATTTTATTTTAATTTTATTTTAATTTTATTTTAATTTTATTTTAATTTTATTTTAATTTTATTTTAATTTTATTTTAATTTTATTTTAATTTTATTTTAATTTTATTTTAATTTTATTTTAATTTTATTTTAATTTTATTTTAATTTTATTTTAATTTTATTTTAATTTTATTTTAATTTTATTTTAATTTTATTTTAATTTTATTTTAATTTTATTTTAATTTTATTTTAATTTTATTTTAATTTTATTTTAATTTTATTTTAATTTTATTTTAATTTTATTTTAATTTTATTTTAATTTTATTTTAATTTTATTTTAATTTTATTTTAATTTTATTTTAATTTTATTTTAATTTTATTTTAATTTTATTTTAATTTTATTTTAATTTTATTTTAATTTTATTTTAATTTTATTTTAATTTTATTTTAATTTTATTTTAATTTTATTTTAATTTTATTTTAATTTAATTTTAATTTTATTTTAATTTTATTTTAATTTTATTTTAATTTTATTTTAATTTTATTTTAATTTTATTTTAATTTTATTTTAATTTTATTTTAATTTTATTTTAATTTTATTTTAATTTTATTTTAATTTTATTTTAATTTTATTTTAATTTTATTTTAATTTTATTTTAATTTTATTTTAATTTTATTTTAATTTTATTTTAATTTTATTTTAATTTTATTTTAATTTTATTTTAATTTTATTTTAATTTTATTTTAATTTTATTTTAATTTTATTTTAATTTTATTTTAATTTTATTTTAATTTTATTTTAATTTTATTTTAATTTTATTTTAATTTTATTTTAATTTTATTTTAATTTTATTTTAATTTTTATTTTAATTTTATTTTAATTTTATTTTAATTTTATTTTAATTTTATTTTAATTTTATTTTAATTTTATTTTAATTTTATTTTAATTTTATTTTAATTTTATTTTAATTTTATTTTAATTTTATTTTAATTTTATTTTAATTTTATTTTAATTTTATTTTAATTTTATTTTAATTTTATTTTAATTTTATTTTAATTTTATTTTAATTTTATTTTAATTTTATTTTAATTTTATTTTAATTTTATTTTAATTTTATTTTAATTTTATTTTAATTTTATTTTAATTTTATTTTAATTTTATTTTAATTTTATTTTAATTTTATTTTAATTTTATTTTAATTTTAATTTTAATTTTAATTTTAATTTTAATTTTAATTTTAATTTTAATTTTAATTTTATTTTAATTTTATTTTAATTTTATTTTAATTTTATTTTAATTTTATTTTAATTTTATTTTAATTTTATTTTAATTTTATTTTAATTTTATTTTAATTTTATTTTAATTTTATTTTAATTTTATTTTAATTTTATTTTAATTTTATTTTAATTTTATTTTAATTTTATTTTAATTTTATTTTAATTTTATTTTAATTTTATTTTAATTTTATTTTAATTTTATTTTAATTTTATTTTAATTTTATTTTAATTTTATTTTAATTTTATTTTAATTTTATTTTAATTTTATTTTAATTTTATTTTAATTTTATTTTAATTTTATTTTAATTTTATTTCAATTTTATTTTAATTTTATTTTAATTTTATTTTAATTTTATTTTAATTTTATTTTAATTTTATTTTAATTTTATTTTAATTTTATTTTAATTTTATTTTAATTTTATTTTAATTTTATTTTAATTTTATTTTAATTTTATTTTAATTTTATTTTAATTTTATTTTAATTTTATTTTAATTTTATTTTAATTTTATTTTAATTTTATTTTAATTTTATTTTAATTTTATTTTAATTTTATTTTAATTTTATTTTAATTTTATTTTAATTTTATTTTAATTTTATTTTAATTTTATTTTAATTTTATTTTAATTTTATTTTAATTTTATTTTAATTTTATTTTAATTTTATTTTAATTTTATTTTAATTTTATTTTAATTTTATTTTAATTTTATTTTATTTAATTTTATTTTAATTTTATTTTAATTTTATTTTAATTTTATTTTAATTTTATTTTAATTTTATTTTAATTTTATTTTAATTTTATTTTAATTTTATTTTAATTTTATTTTAATTTTATTTTAATTTTATTTTAATTTTATTTTAATTTTATTTTAATTTTATTTTAATTT